AAAAAAAAAACTGATGGTATTTAGTTTGTATTTTGCAATTATTATCTAAAACTTGAAAAAAAATATAATAATTTAATGAAATTGTCAGCGAAAAATGGGTACAGGCGTGAGCACTTGCAAGACTTTGTATTTATGTTACGGAATATGTACATAGATCACATAATTATCACTCCTTTTTCAATGTGATATTGTTTGCCACTTACGTGTATTTATTTAGTTTTAAGAATTTTCAATTAAAATACACTTCATTCTCTAACAAAACCCATATAAACTCCCAAGTTTAAAACTTGGCAGAAAACTGAAAATGCAACAAACTCCAAACTTTTTTGTTAGAATTTTTTTAGTACCTATACAGTTTTATAGTTCATTACCACCAGGCCTTAACTGCAGTTTATGCCTATTGGAAAGAGCAGATTACAACTCGAAGGAGGTAGTTGCTCATATTAAGTACATGCTAGCGAAAGGAAAAAAAGCAATAATCTTATTAATCCTACTAATGTTATAAATGTGAAAGTGCCACGTTTTCATAAACTTAAAATCAATTTAATTAACTAGACTGAAATGAAATCGTTTTAAGACCAGATAATTTTTCCAGGGCTGAAGGAAATATTCCAGAGTGTACTTAAAATATGGAGGGAACACTTCTCTATGCTTTGAGATAGCGACGCGCGCGTTAGACGTACATATATATCAATTTATGGAGACCAAGCTCGTGTCCCTCCTATCCTACGTACGTTCCAAAGCAGGAGTTTTTCCGGTAAGTAATTTTGTACCGTACAAGTTAAACTACGTGCTGAGTTAGATAACCTCTCCAAGGGCCTTAAAAAAACTAGAAAACCCGTCGAATTTCGACAGTAATTGGCACACCTAGGTATTTTTAAAAATAAAATGTCTGAGATCGTTCTTTCGGATGTAAATGTTTTATTTAAAATTAAAAAAAGGTCTAGATAGATCAACCTATATATGTTAAGCATTTAAACTCAGAAAAAGCCAACCACTCTGTTTTCTTCAGTTTCTTTCAGTTGAAAGCCTGAAAGCCGATCTAAAATCGCCTCCTGTGAACACCGTTTAAGATATATGTAAATAGTACATACTACCAATTTTTCATGCTAAAATTTAATGATTTTTTCCTGTGTTCTCTCAACTTTTACCTATCAATAATACATTTAACCTATAATTTCCACTAATCTGATGATATTCATAACTGCTGGTTAAGTAAATACGAGTGTTTTCGGGATGAATGTGTGCGAAACTAGTAGCGCTGGCGTGTGATTTGTATGCAAAAGTTTTTTTTTATGTGCAGGTTATTTCAAATATTAAAAAAAAAAATACGCAACTATGTAGTGAAGGAGTTAGGGCGCTAAGTACATGGCTAAGAAATATTAAGACATGACTAAAAATTCAAGTGAGATATATGTATGTTGTGTTTCCTGTCTAGTAGTAATATATCCGTCAATAAAAGTTAGCCAAAACAAACGAAATCAACGAAATTATTTACAACATATAGAACAGCCGTTATGTGTGTGTGTTTTTTTTTGCATTATTTATATACAAAAATTTTAAAAAGTGTGTTATAAATAGAATGGTGCTTGCACTTGATGATTATGGAACGAACGAGGAATTTTTTAACGCCTCATTACGCAATTTCGGACAATTGAAAACAATTTAGAGAAACATAAACTTAAACAATAATTAATGAATACGTAAACAATGCAAATAAATTCAAATGAAAAATGCAATAAAAGTGAAATTCATACAAAAACAAAAGCATTAAGCTATAGTTCAAATATGTTTAGAGTTAGTGATGTTTTAAAGCGGACGCTGAGTGTAATTAAAAAAAGTAATTTTTTCACAGAATTTAATTTTGTAAAATCGCACTCGAAACCATAAAAAAACGTGCTTTGACAAATTAAACTTGCGCAAAGGCTTTGTCGTCTCATGAATGACCAACAAAAATTGCAATAAACTCATTAAACAATAAACATATCTCAACTATTAACGCCAACATAAAATGTGCAAGAAAACAAACAAATAAAAATATAAAAAACACAAAAAAATATCAATCCTAACCTCGACACAGAAACGATCACCGACACCGGTGCTGTAACTCGTTGCTGAAGCGTCGTGCGCGTACTCATCGTCATCGGGATACTCCACAATTGGCATTCCACTTGGCGCTGGCGATGGCGGCATTTCAATTATCGGGCTGCTCATATCATTGGCTGCCAACTCGCCGCCCATCAATATCACCGGCGGCATGGCCAGCACCGGACGATGATATATATTGCCCATGCCACCCGTTGTTCCAGCAATACCCATCGCCGCATTTACGTTTGCATTATTGTTGTTGACGTAGTTTTGTTGTTGATTTCTGAAACTACTTTGACTAGTTTGACGTGCCACATGCGACATGTTGTAATTGCTGCTGCTGTTGTTGTTCGCCGTTGTAGCATTCGCAAAATTCGGCGCCGTCATTTGGCTGCTGTTAAGTTCCGGTGTTGTCGGCATTGAACCTTGCTGGCGACCCTGACCCCCCTGACCACCACCACCACCACCAGCACCAGCGGACAGCAGCTGTTGTGGCTGCTGTGACGTCGGTTGTGGCTGGTATTGATGCAACGGCGTTGGATGTTGAGTGGGCAGTGGTGTATGATAAGGCTGGAGTATTTGCTGTGCGGCTGAGGCAATGTACTGCTGCTGCAATGGCTGTTGTTGTGGCTTTTGTTGCGACGGTTGTTGTGGCGGCGGCTGCTGCTGCTGACGGCTGCCGTATTGGTGGACAGGCCGTTGCAGCGTATTGGGTTGTGAGTCCATTTGATTGAGAAAATCGAATTCACGCAGTGCATTCTGTAACTGTCGTCGGTTAACAAAAAAGAGAACAATTTCGCAAACACAAAAATCACACAAAACGATAAGGCGAACGAAAGAGGCATGAGGAGATTGATTACGTATAGACTGACTGTAGGCGAGTTTAAGTATGAATATATAATTTTGATCTTAGGTACATAAATAATATTTATACATACATACAAAGAAATGGAAATTAAAACTATATACACAGCTACATATATATGTACATACTTATGTATGGTACAAAAATACAAAATTTTCATTCATAAATACATATTTATCTAAATAAATAAGACCTATTATTAAAAAAAAAGACGCGATCAATCATGTTTCAACTATGAAAGGTTGCTTAAATAAGAGCATCGCCCCGAATATCATTGATTACCCTTACTGCATCAGCTGCATGGAGGACGATGACGTGGAATCATCTCAATACCTGCTACTCTGGTGCCTTGCCTCTGCGAATCTAAAGTTCAAGCACTTCGGTTCGCATTTCTTCTACACTCCCAAAATGAGCTTTCGGGAAAGGATATCAGTCGCTTGAGGAGCTTCGATATGAGCACGGAGCGGCTTTCATGCCTTTCTTTAAATTTAATTTTTGAATCTCCAAAAATTACATAATATATCCCAGTGTGCGTCGGGGTAGAATGTAGTTAGTTAGAAGCTAAACCTACAACAGTGCCAGAGCAACGCAGGTTTCTCTGGGCAGCTGAAGCCTTTTCCTCTGCAATGCGTGAGAGTGGAATTCGGACGACGATATTCACGGGGCGAAGATGGTAATCTGGTAATCTGTGAATATCGTTAATTGACTATTTACTGCCTATGCAGTATGTTCATAGATATGCTTTCTGATTTGCCTAGGTGGAGGTTCTGGTACCAGAAAGTTCTTGTTTGGGTGCTCAGAAACTGCTTGCCGGTACTATTTATTGAAGAAATGTGAAATAATTCATATTCGCCTTAATTTTTTTGTGGTGAGTTTTATTTGCGCTTTGGATATTGTCCAGAAAATGAATAAAGTAAAATTTCATCCCGAAAACGAAGAAAAAACTATAGATTTAGTTAAATCGCAAGAATTTTTTCTGTTCTTTGTTGCACATATCCAAAAACAGCAACAAAAAAAAAACGTTGACAGAACGGAATTCTAGGTATTTAATATTGTTTTAAGATTTTCGATCAACTATTATAAATATCTGAGTTTGAATATTTTGTTCAGAAATAGAAATTATATATCGACCTTGCAAATCATTTTTTCAAAGTCTTCTCAATTGTAAGAAATTTTAAAGAATTCGTAAATATTTTATTCTCATTTTTGAATTTTCTAAAATGAAATAAACTCGGAAGAAAATCGGTAAAACAATGAAAATAAAGCCGTTAATTGAAGAATTTCTTGCAGTTTTTTTCAGAATTTCCTTTATTTTTCGTAGAGAAATTTCTTTACGAGTTCGTGTCAACCACTTCATATAATTTAATTTTTCTTTGAAGATTCGTAAAGATTTCGTTAAGATTTCGGGAACTTTGGTTTGCAGGGGATTTACATTTTTTTTTATTTATCAAAAATAAAACTAATTTTTCGAGTGTTATTTTTTCGCTATGTAATAATGATTATTTTGTGCATTAATATTTTTTGATCAGAAATAATGATTAGTTTGAGCTATTTCTTTATCAAAAATTAAAATTATTTTTGAGCTCAATTTTTTTAATCGAAAATTAAGTAATTTCTTGATCGTTCTTTGATCACTCAGAAATAAAAATTATTTTTAAAATTTGTTTTCTGATAAAAAAAAATAAAACTTATAAAATAATGATTATTTTTGATTATTTTCTTTGCCCAAAACTTTCTACAGTTGAAACATGATTTCAAGCATAGCCTTACAGAATGTTTACATGAGGAATGAATGAGCTAAATACAAGATCCGAGATGGATAAAAATGTGGCATGCAACAAAGAGCTACAACCGCCAGCAATAAATCAAACTATTCTAAGTGCTCCTAAAAAAATTCAACCTACGCACTCAAAAGAATGGCACTAAAAGATAGTTTAAAAAGACATACAGTACAACTGAGGCATAATATGTATTTTTATTTAGTTGTAGGAAAAAATATGCTCATTGCTATTTTCCTCACAAATTTAGACTATAGAATTCTCTCAAAGATGTAATATTTTGACTGCTAAGTATCGACCTATGTGGCTCATGAAAGCGTTGTTACTGTTTTTAAAAAAAAAAAATAAGTTATCAATATTATTTCAAAATGAATTAGGTAAATTTGGTTAAAATGTTAAAATATATTTTTGCACCAAATATATGCCAACACCGGAACATTGACAATTACATATACGAGTACTTACGAGTATTACGTCTAGACTCTAGATATTTACAATAGCCTAACAGAAGAGAGCAACAACAAACACCAAGTTTACTGAATACAGCAACGGATTTACACAAACGATTGTAGTACTGCACAAAATCTACAAATATTAACCAAATACTGAACGAAAATGCCAAGTTAAAACTAAAATAAATTTAATTTTTAAAACCATGACGATGTAGTTTTCTATGGTTTCTATGAGTGAAGTTTTTGTTGTTGTTGTGTGTGTGTGCTCTTGTACTTACCTCGGGATCGAGTTTTGGAGGCGCAGTACTCGGTATTGGTGGAGGCTGTGTCTGTGTAGGTGTTGGCAACTTCGATGTGGGTCTTGAGCCCATGGACAAACCGGCCCCGCTGGCAGGTTCTGTCGACGCCGCCGCCGCTACTGAGCTATGCTTGCCAGCGATTTGCAATTGTAAATTATTGTTTTTCGTAGACAAATGCTGTTGCTGCAGCTGGTTTTGTTGTTGTTGCTGCTGCTGCTGCTGTTGCAGAGACTGTGGAGATTGTGAAGGCACTTCCGGTGGCAGCACTGCAATACCCTGCATCGACAGTGGCCGCATGCCGCTCAAACCGCTCACTTCGGGATCGGGACATTCTCCGGGTGTTTCGACGTGTTCGTGTATGCCCGCATCGGGGTCATACTCCAAATTGCGTGCTTGCTGCCCTGGTGAATAAGGCTCCGGCTCGGCATCGATGGTACCAGACGAAGGCGAACGCGAAATAGGCGATTCGCTGTCGCGTGAATTGCCACGTGGCGTACCTTCGGCGGCTAAGTGTGAACTAGAAGGCGTATTGCGCTTCAGCAAACGACCCCAGGTGGCCACATTGATATTCATCTGCTTGGCACGTGGTATATTCTTTACCTGTTGCTTATTGAAGATCATGCGCTGCCGACGCAGTTTTGGTTTTTGCGATATCATTGGATTAAGGAATTTAATCTCGGCAAAGAGTAGACCTTGTGGCTCCAATTGTAGTGCCATGCCGTGCCGTACATCGTCAATGAATTCCTCTAATCTCAAGAATTTTACGCCACACAGCGAACGCCAATCGTGCCAGTAAACGCCAATCTCCAGCTCACGCGAACGATCTAGATCGATGGAAAAGCGCTGATCCCATGCCTGTTGTGAACAAGGCTTCCAAGAAGTTTGCCCTACTGTTATATTGTCTAACTTTATGACTGCCATAATTTCCGAAGACGTTTCATCCTTGACTGAATAACTTTTCGAGCTGCTACGCGATGTTACACCTTTCACGAAACTACGCAAATCACCAGGGCTGGAGTTGTTGTCTTTGTCGCGCCTCGAGCGGCCAGGCACATCTTCCAGCAGGCCCTGACAACCCATCAGGCGCACTTCCAACTTACCCGAAACACTGGCGCAACGCCCCAGTGAGACTTGCTGATACGGCTTGCCGCCTAGTAAGCCACCGTGGAAGGGCTGCAGCGACGTGTATGTGACTGGAATTGGAGACGAAGCCTGCTGAACTGACTGCAGCTCGGATTTTAATTGGTGGGCGGCTGGTGAATCTACTGGCAATTCCAGACGCCGCAAGTCAAGTGAGTGCCGGAGAAGATCCAATTTACGCGACGATTCGCTAAGGCGTATGTTTGCCTAGAGTCATGGCGAAAAAGAATAAAATCAATTAGAAATCTTTAAAAAAAAAATTACAATTATAGATGTATGGAAATATGTATGTATATGGCCAGACATGCAAAAAGCCTAACGTTTTTGGATTGGGTTTACCTTGAAATAGGTCAGAAATGTCGTGAGTGACATTCATAACTGAAAATATTCTGCTTTATTAATATTTTTCATTTAAATTGCATTCGTGAAACTGGCTGCAAGAAAGGTGCATCTATATTACGATAACTATATTTTGATTATTCGAATACTTGACAATATATTTAAATCTGATGCGTGGCACGTTAAATATAATTTTTTTCCAAAAAATAAACTAATAAATAAAAAACAAATGAAGAAATTCAAGAAATAAAAATTATTGAAAAAATTTCATCAAAATTTAAAAAATATTGCAAAAAAAAAAAACAATAATTACAAAAATATATAAACAAAAAGAAATCAGGTATAAAAAATATATTCTAATATACTTATTCTAAAAATGTTAATATGATCATTTTTAACGTGATCAAGTCTAAATAACAGCAGAATAGATTGATTGTAGTTGGATTGACATATGAAAAAGTGGACAAGGCAAAAACAGTTTACGTGGCGAACTTAGCTCCGTAGGTAGATCACTGGTTTTGTAATCCAAGTTCGCGAGTTCAAAACACAGTGAACTCGATGAAGAAGTGCGATGAGAAGATGTGGTGATCTCCAAAATAGCAGCTAAAACTTCTACCATTTTTAAACTATTGCTGTTTTTCCAGAATAATTAATTTTTCATTAAAAACTGACTCAAGCTCAATAAAATTGCTGAATATGATTTGTTATTAGACCAATAAATGGCAAAAAAGCAAATCTAATCTCCAGTTTCACTAATTAANTTTTGTAATCCAAGTTCGCGAGTTCAAAACACAGTGAACTCGATGAAGAAGTGCGATGAGAAGATGTGGTGATCTCCAAAATAGCAGCTAAAACTTCTACCATTTTTAAACTATTGCTGTTTTTCCAGAATAATTAATTTTTCATTAAAAACTGACTCAAGCTCAATAAAATTGCTGAATATGATTTGTTATTAGACCAATAAATGGCAAAAAAGCAAATCTAATCTCCAGTTTCACTAATTAATTTTAAAATTTATAAGACTGTAAAAATTTAAAATGACAATTTTATTAGGAAAATTTTTCTTTTTTGAAGTCGATAAAAAAAAAATAAAAAGAATACAAAAAATAAAAAATTATGAAATAATGTTGTTTTTTATTACCTACGTATAATAAGGTTTAAAAAAAAAAAGAATTTTTAAAAAATTTATTTTTTCTCCACAGGTAAATGTTAATATTCTGGTGGTATTACTTCCACTTGTGGAAATCGAAGGAAAATAACGGGTGATTTTTTTGAGGTTAGGATTTTCATGCATTAGTATTTGACAGATCACGTGGGATTTCAGACATGGTGTCAAAGAGAAAGATGCTCAGTAT